TTTGTTATTCCATTTAAAAGATTAAAAGGAACAGTTTGGATTGTATTGTTTACCATCCTTAGCGCCTGTTATGACACCACCTTATTTTCTCTTTCTTTTCTTTTCTTTTCTCTCTCCCTTCCTTCTCTACTTCCTTCCTTCCTCCTCTCCTTCCCCTTCTTTCTTCCCTTACCTCTCCCCTACTCTTACCCTCTCTCTTCCCCTTCCTACCCTCTCTCCTTCTCTTCTTATTATCTCTTTTATTCATTAAACATGACACTCAGACAACTGAACATTTAAAAACGCATCACAAATACTGTTGACTGGTGCTGATGGTTGATATGGGTGGCTGCCAGCATCCTAGGTATCAACCAACTACCTTCTTAAAATATATGATGTTCTGAGTAGCGCAGTTTTTTGCAGTTTCGCTGGTGTTATTGCAGGAAGCTGCAATTTATTGATGTAAAATTCTTAGACATGGTGCCAAGTGTCCCGATGGCAATGGGTATCACGGTTACATGTTCATCCATAGCCATGTAGTTTCGATAGCCAGGTTGTGGTATTTCATGATTTTTTCCCCAGTTCTTTTTCTTCGACTCTGGCATCTCCTGGTACAGTGATAACAATAAACTGTACGCTTTGGTCCTCTACAACTGTGATATATCTGGCGTGTTGTGTTCCAAATGACAACCTGTTTGTATTTGAAAGTCATTGTTGTTGTTGTTGTTTGGGAAAAACACCTCCGTAATAATCCTGTGTTTTTATTTCAGGGCTCTGGCACACGAGAAGTTCACAAAGTAAGTAATCTCCTGTAGTGATGTAAACTGGGTTGACCTAGCCTTTGACAATGCAGAAGTTTCGAAACTTTGCGATATGCTCTTCGTTGTAAAGGCTAAAAAGAGACACCCTCCACCCACTACACCTTCTCCATTGATAAAAATGGAGAGACACAACTCCGGATCTTCCTCTGCCACTCAAAAACATCACACGTCCCCCAAGGACCGTTCTGTCAGCAGGAGCATCCAATCTGGACTGTTGTAGGATTTTCTTAGCTGCGCTGTTTTGGCTCCCGGTTCAACAAGATCCATTAGACAAGAACTTTCTTTCCCTGGAATAATTTCCAAGAAGGAGGCTCAAAAGTCAGGGCTGTGAAACTCCCGGCCCACGGGCCAGATGCGTCACGTGCTGGGCATGTCCACGCCCGGTTTAGCGAAGGGGGAAAAAGTCTCGATATGTCACATGATGCTGCCATCTTCATTATACATTATAACTTATAAAAATAACACAAACACACATCCTTCACATTCTATACAATTAAATTGAAAAACCCCTGATATTGCATTAATATTGCACCATACCGTAGAATTCAATATAGTTCCTGTCCTGGGATAGAAGCTGTTTTTCAGGCTATTTCCCTTGTTTTTATTGTCCTGTACCGGCTGCCAGATGGTAATAGTTCAAAAAAAAAAAAAGGGTGCCCAGGATGAGATGGATCTTTAAGAACGTTTTGAAATTTCTCAAGGCATCGGGAGCTATAAAGCTCTTCCAAAGAGGGGAGAGGGCAACCCATGATCCTTTGGGCAATGGCGTTGACCCTCTGGAGTGCTCTCCTATCTGCCACTGTGCAATTGGCAAACCATATGCAGGTGCAGTAAATTAAAATGATGGAAGTGATGATGGAAGGATGCTTTATCAGTCTGCTGGAGCAAGTCAGGAAGAGAGTTTCTAGACCAGCTATTTAACTTCAATGCTTGTTTCCTACATGCAAGGAATTGCAGAATCATAGGTCTTGGCAAGACATTTATAAGCTAAGGAGAATAGGACAAGAGAATCCTGATGATGATGTTACCTAGTCTGTTAACGAAATGTTCAGAAACTAAATTGAAACAAACTTGGAGAGCAAACCACTGTCCCAATAAATCTTCTTGTCCAACTCCCTGCCCACAGCAGAAATCCTTATTGCATCCTGGACAAACTAATCAAGGATTCCAGGCATTCTCCTTCCCATGCATAGAATTCCCCTTTGGCTTACATCCAAAGGTTTATGGTCTCAAGAGGTCTCTAGCTGCTGATCTGTCTGGCAAAAAGAAGCTGCAGGATGGGGAAGGGATCTCCAGGCGTTCAAACGCCCACGTTTTCTAATCCCAAGGGTTTAAAGTCCTTAACTAACAAACTAACTAGGCTGTCAGAAGGCCTTTTCCCACTGTGTCAAGCCCCAGTTCAGTAGAAACTCATTGTCCCCTCCGCATTTCCTTGTAACTTTTCACTTTGCACATAATCAAAATGAAATGCAACAGCTGTACTCTGTATTTCTTTGGAAATGACCAGCTTCTTACTTCTCTTTCTCTCTTCCCCCCCCTTTCTTTTTTTTTCTTTTTGTCTGTTTCCAGGGAGCTGAAGTACGTCATTCAAAGATTCGCGGAAGACCCAAGACAAGAAGTAAGTTTTCTGTCCAGTACAGCACCAAAAGTTTTGTTTGTCAAGACTTTCAGGCTGTAAATTGCTTGGAGTTCCATGATGCAGTCGTCCTCTCGGCTTTGATATGGTTCCTCAAAAGAGTTTTTGGAGTCTGCTGCTGCCTTCTTAGAAATGATTTCATGCCTCTTTGTGTTAACATGAAACACGGTTTGGATATCTCGGAACTTTGGCTGGAATGGCTGCATCTGGAGCTTTCAGTGTAAAATGAATGCTCCAGACAGATGCCTTCCATCTCTTGAAAAACAGAGAGTGAACATTTCAACCCTTGTTTGCGTCATAAAAATGCTCGTTGTTGTGATGGTGGCATGCACAAATGGGTATTTATGTCCACATTGGTTGCAAATGTGGATGGATGGATGGATGGATGGATGGATGGATGGATGGATGGATGGATGGATGGATGGATGGATGGATGGATAGGTGAATGCATGGATGGATGGATGAATGGATGGATAGGTGAATACATGGATGCATGCATGGATGGATAGGTGAATGNTGGTGGAACCTCTTCTAACCGGTTCGGTAGATTTGACGAACTGGTTCTACCGAATAGGTGCCAACTGGTAGGAACCCACCTCTGGACTCAGCCTTCCATCCTTCCGAGGTGGGTGAAATGAGGACCCAAACTGTGGGGGGCAATGTGCTGACTCTGTAAACCGCTTAGAGAGGGCTGAAAGCCCTATGAAGCAGTATATAAGTCTAACTGCTATTGCTATTAGGATCCCTTTCAACTAGAAATTAGTCAATGGAATGAGACTATTGCATTGTCTTTTGTATGGGAATTTCTTTAAAGATTACTCAGAAACTCTATTTTTGTAAATTGCAATGGCCTCTATGCTGTCGACTGAGAGCCTTTACAACCATATATAGCATCAGTTTTACGAGTGCTGCATTGACTTCAAGTAAGTTTCCAATTATAATTCAAAATACCAATTTTAGCTTTCAGAGCTCTGGATGACAATGAGTCCCAGTTATCTCAAAGACCGCCTTCAAATATGTTGAATATTCATCTTGTGTTCATCTCAATATTTGTTTGAATATAGTTTGCATATCAAGCTTTGAGAAGACAGTGCATGCTTACATTTTTTTTCTTAAAAATTTATTAGGACATATGCCATCAGAAAAATAAGAGATGCCTTTAGAGAAAACAAAAACATCAAGGAATCATCAGAAATAGATACACTAATCAACAAAGCAAAAACTAATCTGGAAATGATGCACCGGCAGGTAAGCTATCAATCAATTAAACTCGAAACTTGGTATAGTATTCCTTTTCTTCACGTATATAATTTTAGTCTCTTTCAATCTCTCAGGAATGTACATTAAATATATATACTTTATCAGTTAACATTAGTATACACATGCTTCTTATTAGAAGATATAAAGGATAAAACATAAATTTATATTGTTGGCACTTTAAAAACAGCTTACGAGAAAAGGAAAATGGAAACCACTGCACACATAAAAATACGAGTACCAACTACAATGGGAGTGATTGGTTAGGTTTATGGCTCCTTAAGATACTGTATCAGAGGTGGGTTGCTGCTGGTTCAGCCCGGATCGGCCAAACCAGTAGTAGTGGTGGAAGGTTTAAGGTTTAATATTATTTGTATGCCGCCCTTTTCCCTGAAGGGACTCAGGGCGGCTCACAACTCAAAAGGGAGGGGAAATACAAACAGAGTAACAAAAAACATAAAAAACCATACATAGTTAAAAAGCATAACAATCATACCATTCGAAGTGGGGCAGCGAGTCTTTAGCCCCAGGCCTGTCNAAAGCCTGAGTGCCAAAGAATGGAGGCCTTTGAATTCTGGTGCTGGAGAAGACTCCTGCAAGTCCCTTGGACTGCAAGGCCAGCCAACTGGTCAGTCTTAGAGGAGATCCACCCTGACTGCTCTTTAGAAGGCCAGATCCTGAAGAGGAAACTCAAATCCTTTGGCCACCTAATGAGAAGGAAGGACTCCCTGGAGAAGAGCCTCATGCTGGGAACGATGGAGGGCAAATGGAGAAGGGGACGGCAGAGAAGGAGGTGGCTGGATGGAGTCATTGAAGCAGTCGGTGTGAGCTTAAATGGACTCCAGAGGATGGTAGAGGACAGGAAGGCCTGGAGGAACATTGTCCATGTGGTCGCGATGGGTCGGACACAACTAACAACAACAACAACAAGGGTTGGCTTGATCTGGGTTTAGCACCAGAGAGAAATGACTAGAAATGTAGCTGCTCTCTGGGGAAACAAGATGGTGTCCTTTTTTACAACTAAGTACTCCAGTGAAGAACAGATGGGATGTTTCAATGGGAGGAGCAGTCCTAGAGGAGACCAGCCCTGATTGCTCTTTGGAAGGCCAGATCCTGAAGATGAAACTCAAAGACTTTGGCCACCTAATGAGAAGGAAGGACTCCCTGGAGAAGAACCTCATGCTGGGAATGAATGGAGGGCAAAAGAAGAAGGTGATGGCAGAGAAGGAGGTGCCTGGATGGAGTCACCGAAGCAGTTGGCGTGAACTTGAATGGACTTCAGAGGATGGTAGAGGACAGGAAGGCCTGGAGGAATGTTGGGTCGGACACGGCTTCACGACTAACAACAACAACACCCTGCAAGCTCATTTTTCATTTTTGTTCTTAGAAAGGCACGAATTTTACACCGGTGTCACCTGCGTCTCTTCCCACATTTCAGTAACCTAGAAATACACCAGCACTTTAAAACTGCCCTTTATGTGAAGGGAACAATCCAACATTGAGTGTTTGTGAGTCATGAAGCCGAGGCTTTGATATTTACAATTTTGCTCCAACTTGGCTTTGGGAGGGTGAAGCTGTGGGGGACCTTGTTAAAAATGATAGATAATGGATAAATTTCATATTCAAAGGGAAAGAGCTGAGCGAAAGAGGGATTGTGAGCATCCCTCCCTCTTGCCTTCGTATCTAGTTTTTCCTTTTTTTAAAAAAAAGGTGAAGGTTCCCCTCGCACATGTGTGCTAGTCCTTCCCAACTCTAGGGGGCGGTGGTCATCTCCGTTTCAAAGCCGAAGAGCCAGCGCTGTCCGAAGACGTCTCCGTGGTCATGTGGCCAACATGACTCAACGCCGAAGGCGCGTGGAATGCTGTTCCCTTCCCACCAAAGTGGGGGTCTCTATTTTTCTTCTTGCATTTTTTACGTGCTTTCGAACTGCTAAGTTGGCAGAAGCTGGGAAAGTAACGGGAGCTCACGCCGTTACACGGCGCTAGGGATTCGAACCGCCAACCTTTCTGATCGACAAGGTCAGAAAAGTTTTTACACGTCGCAAACCACCCTTTCAAAAGCTGTCGTAACTCTTCAACGGTTATTAAACGGCCAATATTAAGTTGAAAAAGACCTGTGATCAAGATTTGCGCCGTATGTGTCTTTGATGCAGGCTATGTAGAGTCCGTAAGATACACCTCCGACTCTGGGAAAACAGCTTCCCCCTTTTCAGAGCTGCATTAAGGATTTTTCTGCATTTAAGCTTTTTTTTTAAAACTCTTGAAACAAATGGCCTCCATGTGGAGTGTAACTTAAGAACACCCAAGTTTTAAACTTCCTTTTTCTCAGAATTTATGGAAGCCAGAGTAATTCTACCCTTCTGCTATTTTTGGGGGGGCAGGGGCTGGCAGATGGGGGGGAAACAGGACATGCTAAGATCTGTTTCGAGATATTTTAAGGAAAACAGCACAGCAAATTTAAGAGCATAAATCCTGAGTTTTTCACAGCTTGGTTTAATGTAGCTACCATATGTCTGAAATGCAGCACTAACTTCTCAACTCGGCATTTCTTTAGAGAGCAGTTAACGTGTTTCTTCGTGACACCAAGTAGTAGTTTCCTTGCCAAGAGGCATAGTCAAAGATTTATTACGTTCTCTCTTACCACCCCCTCCTTCCGATTTCTTCGTCCCACCCCAAACAATTTTAGCTTCAAGGCCTGCATACATGATTGGAAAATGCTTTTAGGCAGGTGGACTCAACGTAAAATCTACTGAGGCTTTACAAGATCTTGTAGGTCCTTATTTGAGTCCAAAATTTTGCTTCTGGAGCTGGTGCTTCAGATCATTCCTGAAAAAGAAATTGTTCTTGACTTGCACCAGTTTATTTAATGACTCCACAAAGTTACAACCACTGGAAAAAGTGACTTACGATCAGTGCTGGGTTGCAGTTGGTACGTCCTGGTATGGTCGGACCGGTGCCTGCCGGCGCACTGGGTACCGTTCCGGTGCTCCGGAGGGCTTACCTGCCTGCCTGAGCTCCTTACCAGTATTTGAGCTCTTCGGCGCTTCTGCGCATGGAGCGCACGGCAGCTGTGTGACACTCCGCCTCCACGGAGGCGTTGCAAGAGGTATGTACGCAGGGACGCACTGTGTGCATTCATATGGTGCATGCCAGGCCCCTTTGCAACAGTACGAGTTGCAACGGGATCCGGGAACCCACCACTGCTTACGACAGTTTCTCTCACTTACGACCGCTGTAAGCAACCCCGGGGATTACGTGATCAAAATTCAGACGCTTGGCCGCTGACGCATGGTTGCAGCATCCAGGAGTCATGTGATATCCTTTTTGCCACCTTCTGACAAGCAAAGTCAACGTGGAAGCCAGATTCACTTAAGAACCAAGTTGTTCATTGAAGGAGAGTGTTCACTCGCTCCCGGCGAGCAAGGCCATAAAATGGGGGGCAATTTACAACAACTGTGGTAGAGAAAAGCTTGTCAAATGGAGCAAAACTGACTTAACAACTGTCTCTCTTAGCAGCAGAAATTTTGGGCTCAATTGTGGTCGTAAGTTGAGGGCTACCTGTATAGTAGTTTTGTTTGGAAGTCAAATCTCTGAACCATCATTTGATGATAGCTAATTCAGTAGTTGGGGGAGGGATACTGAACTTTGAATAATCAGTATTCCACTGAACATCTAGAACCCAACTGGGCATCTAGAACCCAACTGGACTTCTGGAGCCCAACTGGA